ATCCTGACATTACGCGCGGGGACGGGGTGTACACTCGCTACGCTCCACCTCTTGATGGTCCAGCTCGCTATGCTGTCTTGATCTCTGTGGATGCTGGCAAGGCGGTGCTGGCTCTCGCTCAGACACACACTAGAGACCATGATCTTCGGCACCACAGACACGCCTACACCAAAGAGGTGAGTGTAAGATGGTAGTAGTGGTGGTAGTAGTAGTAGTGGTAGGGAGGGTAGTACTGGTGATGGTAGGGATGGTAGCACTGGTGATGGTAGGGGTGGTAGTACTGCTGATGGTAGGGATGGTAGTACTGGTGATGGTGGTAGTACTGGTGATGGTGGTACTGGTGATGATGGTAGTACTGGTGATGATGGTAGTACTGGTGATGATGGTAGTACTGGTGATGGTTGTGATGGTGGTACTGGTGATGGTGGTAGTACTGGTGATGGTGGTAGTACTGGTGATGGTGGGGTGGTAGTGCTAATTGATGGGATATTAATGTGTTGACTGGTAGGGAGGGTAGTACTATTTGATGGTAGGGAGATGGTACTGGTGACTTGTTTGGTGATGGTAGGAGATTGGTAGTGGTAGGGATAGTAGTGTTGACGGTAGGAGGGTAGTACTAGTGATGGTAGGGGTGGTAGTACTGGTGATGGTAGGGGTGGTAGTACTGGTGATGGTAGGGATAGTAGTAGTGTTGACGGTAGGGATGGTAGCACTGGTGATGGTAGGGGTGGTAGTACTGGTGATGGTAGGGGTGGTAGTACTGGTGATGGTAGGGATGGTAGTACTGGTGATGGTATAGCGCCAGCTCCCTTAAGATACGCCTACACAAAGATAACAATGGTGTTGATGGTAGTAGTAATGGTAGTGATGATGGATGGTAGTGATGGTACTATAATCACCATTAAATTCACCCACGTAGTAAAAAGACTAAACCAAAAAAAAGGTAAATATTATCATCTCTGAAAGCCTGAAATAAGCGACTGTCTCCTCTGCCGTGGTGCAAACTCCTACTTTATCAGGCAATATATTTCTTCAAACTCTCCTCCGTAAAATAACTTAATTCCAGAGGTTAAAAGCCTTTCAGCTCTTGCTTTATACCGCCATTAGATATCTTATCCCACGAGTCATAACCTTTTAAGTCTTTCATCCCCACAATCTTCATTTATTTACCCACGCGTAATGGTCAGAGATTTAAACACACTGTGTCTCTAAAGAGATCGTCTACAGTGATTGGAGTTGTCGTTTTGAATACGGTTTTTGAGTAGTCGAGGTAAACGTTATTCTTTCTTTTTTCAAGGCTGAGGACGATTCTTACATTATAAAAACTCTCTAATATATTCTGTCTCTCGGTCCCAGCAGCTAGCATTTGGTGGATTCGAAGACGATAGGGCGTGGGCGTCTCCCTCCTGCTGTGGCTCTGTTGTGCCCTACGCCCACACCCGGGAGGCGCCGCCGTTCACCCGCCAAGTGACAGGACCCACCCTGGATATTAAAGAGGGTCACGTCGTTAACAGAGAGAAGATACCTCCAGCCAAGTGAGTTGTGCAGGTGGAGGGAGAGTGATGCTAAGAGGTGAACAGAAGGCCTCGCCTTATGTAGAGGAGGTATGGAAGTAGGATGAGAGAGAGTCCTGGAGGAGATCAGTAATGGGAAAACTAGTAAACACAACGGAGGAGTGATGAAGGACAATGAGTGACTGGTGTATTCGTGGTTTCCCTTTTGAAGTTATCTGTGTACATGTGGCTGTGTGTGGGCAGTGTTACATACAGACACGCATATACTGTATGTGTACAAATATCTACATATTTATGCTTGTTTTTTTATTTGTGTCTATACATGTATACCTTTAGATATACATGAACTATGTATGGCTACACTCTTCCTCATAGAATCATGGACTTGGTGGCTTGGGTGAACCACTCCAGCGGTCGTGTGGTGTTGGACTGGACAGCCGTGGGCGAGGACAGAGACTGGGGACGGGCCCGGGCCTATGAAGGCTACGTGGCGCCCAGCAAGACCCAGGCAGCCATCAAGTGCACGGGGGAGAGGATCAGAGACCTCCCTGATCCTGCACCTGCCACCACCAAGGAGAGGGCCGCCGTGGCTCTCACAGTACACGAGAAGGTGAGTGTTGGTGAGAGTGTTGGTGAGAGTAGGGAGTGTTGGTGAGAGTAGGGAGTGTTGGTGAGAGTGGTGGAGTGTTGGGGATAATGTGAAAAACGATGGCGAGGATTATCAGATATGAAGACGGAGAAGGAAGAGGAGCTGACACGGGGAACATATAGAAGGAAAGGGGACACACACACGCGCACACACACACACACGCACACACACACACACACACACACATGCACTACAGAAAAAAAAAACACGAGCACCTCCATCCTTCCTGTTTCACCCACTCACTCCTTCCTCCCCTTTCTCTCCCTGCTACAGAAGGTGCTGTGGGTGTGTCTGCGGGTGGTGGACAGACACGGCAACAGAGGACCTCCCAGTAACC